CTCAGCCCAGTGTCTTGCCCTACAGCCCTCCCAGCAGGATGCCGCCATAGTGGGTGCCGTGAGGCTCGTGTCTGTGCTGATTGCGGCTGTCACCATGGACCTGGCCGGCCGGAAAGTCCTGCTCTATGTGTCAGGTGAGTGTCCCCACTCTGATGTTTGCCTCTCGCTCCTACGGCCACTGGGTGGACTGTAATCTTTGGGCCATACCCAAGCTTCCCTAGCACATGGTAGCTGCTCCAGACAGATCTGCCAGAGCTCCAAGAGCAAAGGAGCCCCCCCCCCCATCTAGCTCAGGGCTGGCAAGAGACCCTGAGCTTGTCATTCCGTGTTGGGGGTGGGAGGACCTTGCTGCCCAGAAAGAGGTGCTGTGGGGCTTGGGAATGGCCTCAAGCTTGGAGAATCTTGGTCCTGAAGTGCCCGTGTGTCCACAGCATCCATCATGCTTGTTGCCAACCTAACGCTGGGGCTGTACATCCACTTTGGCCCAAGGCCTCTGACCCCCAACAGCACTCTGGGACTGGAGATCATGACGTTGGGGGGCACAGAGCAGCCCCCAGCTACATCCTTCAGTTACCTCACTCTGATACCACTGCTGGCCACCATGCTCTTCATTATGGGTAGGAACACCCTGGCAGTGGGGACACCTGGGATGGGCTGTTTGGGTGGGAGCACAGGGGTCTGTTGCTGTCCTGGTTTGCCTGAGGGGTTGGGGGGTTGGAGAATAAGACTTCCTTACAACCCAAGAGACCCAGGCAAGACAGCTTGAGGGTCCCCAGGGCTTGAGCCCAACTGTTCCCCTCTTCTGGACAGGCTATGCCATGGGCTGGGGGCCCATCACCTGGCTCCTCATGTCTGAGGTTCTGCCCCTGCGTGCCCGTGGTGTTGCCTCAGGGCTCTGTGTGCTGGTCAGCTGGCTTACAGCTTTCGTCCTCACCAAGTACTTCTTGCTGGCAGTGGTGAGTGTTTGGCCCCTGGACTCCCAGCAAGGTTTCTCCATCAGCAGTCTTCCTTCACAGGTCCTTTAGCGGCTAAGAGTGGCCAAGTGATAGCACAGCCGGGGCCATGACAAGAAACGGGATCACACTGCAGGGTGGGGGGTGTTTGTGGGAGTCAAGTGACCTCCCAGCCCAGGGATACAGCCCAGACCAGCTGCACTGTCTCTTGACCTACTGGATGCTAGGCTTCTCCAGTGTAACCCTGGTACCTGATTATAGCATGGTGAGGTCCCTCCTAAATATACTTAGCTCCCAGCTCTGCCAGTCAGCAGGCCCTAAAAACACCTAAACGCTGGCCAGCTCCAGACTCTATCAAGGCAATCCAGCTGGGTCAGCACAAGCCAGAACCTGCCCTCCTCCCTCAGTGACTGGGGTTAAGAGGAAGGTTGACACACATGCTTCCCACCAGGCCCTGTAGGCAGCCTAGAGCTTGGGTGTGGTACCTAAGAGAGCAGAGTTTCCAAGGACGGCTGAGGGCAATTTGGGGATAGTAGGGAAGGCTGGGAGGTTTCAGAGCAGAGCAGTGGCCAGATGAAGGCCACCCCACAGGCTGTCAGTACTGGCTGCTGAGCCCATGAAATTCTGGCTGGGGGCTGGGTCTGCTCAGTGACTCTCTCCCCAACTCCCCACTGCAGAGTGCCTTCGGCCTCCAGGTGCCTTTCTTCTTCTTCTCGGCCATCTGCGCGCTCAGCCTGCTCTTCACAGGCTGCTGTGTGCCTGAGACCAGGGGCCGCTCGCTGGAGCAGATCGAGGCCTTCTTCCAAACTCGCAGGATGTCCTTCAGGCCCTAGTCAGGGGCTTGGCTCTAAGGGACCAGATCACCCAGGCCAGGCCTTTGCACTGGCCACAGATTCACACCTGCAACCAGGAGCAGCAGCATCCCTGCCATCAGCCAGAATGCAGAACACATTTCCACGTCCGGACAGGCAGTTCACCAACTATGGGCTGGTAGGCCCCAGCTCAGGCAGCCTGCGGTGCTGTAATACCTCAACTGAGACCTGCAGGGGGAGCAGGCAGTCCAGCCCCAGACTGAGCAAAGGCTGTGCCCAAGGACAAGGCTGTCAGGGGACCTGGCGCTTAGTTTCTCACTCCTACAAGGGACACTTCCCATGCAGGGCCACGTTGAGAACAGAGAACAGGGCTGGAGGTGGCAAAGTGGCTCTGTACAGGGGCATCATCACATCCTGCTGTTCTGATCGGCTGGCCATGGGAAGGACAGGGTCCTGCACCCACAAAGGTCTGAATACCTTGGGGGGAACACTGGACTTCCAAAGGCCAGAGTACAGGACCCATTCCAACCTTTGGATACCTCTAGTCTGAAAACTGTTCACTGTTTTTCAAAATAAAGGAATTGGGCCTGCTGCCTCAGGGAGGAAAGGGGAGTGGGATCTATTCCAGGAGCTCCCTACCCCCGCAGCCAGGCTACCCTCCAACTCAGCCCAGACTGCCAGGGCACTCTGGACGTGATCATAGTGCAGAGAAAGCAGCAGCCACCATGGGGTTGAATGCCAGCTTACCCTTTACAGACAGGCTACTCAGACCCTGTGAGCAGGCTCGGGCCAGGCTCAGCCCAGCAGGCGTAGACAGGGTCTCCCTGCCAGTCCCAGGCACTGAAGACAGAAGGTGACAGACAGACTGTGCAGACCAACTATAGCTTTGCTTTACTCCAAATGTAAGCTAACCAACAAACAAACCAGGGGGTGGGTGGCAAAGGGAGCCACAGAAGACAGCCAGACACAGGCAATAGGGGGGCCTAGTCTGGGCTAGAGAGTGCCTGTGAGTGCTCAGAAGCAAAGCAATGGGCTCCAGAGCCACCGTAATTCAGGAACCTCAGGATGTAAATGTCCCACTCTGGTCTGTATCCATCTCTCTACCTTTACACCCCACCCCATGCTTTCCCAGTACAAAATCAATTTTCTTATTGGGGTCCAATCTTAACCACAGATGTAGCCATTGAATTTCAATACCAGGGGCAGAAGGCCTGGGCAGAAGTGACCTGAATCTTATGCCAATACAAGTAACTAGAGGGGCAGGTAGGGCCTTTGCTCCTCCTGGGAGGTAGACAGGTCTTACTGTGAACATGGGCCCTGACACACCCCAACATACATACACAGAGCCCTTGAAGCCCATTCCTGGCTTGAGAAAAATAGCCTTAGATAAACCTTGAAGACACATGTCCCACCAAGCCAGCTACACTGTGACATCTCTGCTACTCTGGGGTTCAGTGTGGCCAGGCTCTCTGAGAAACGAACAGAGCCCACATATCAAAGAGCCTCTCTATCCAAAATAGAATGCCCACTATTCCTGGCTCCAAAAACTGTTGAGCTAAAGATTCCCTAGAGACTCAGCAACTCCTAGGCTGGGTCCCATGGAGCAGGCCCAGCTGAAGTCCTAGTGCAGGAGGGAGGCAGGGCTTAGCATCTCTCATGCCATCTTCAGTCAGACCACCAACATGTGCCTAATGTCTAAGGTCCCACCCACCTAAGCAGCCACTAGTGCCAACATCACAGGACAGTAGGAAAAGATAGCAGTGCAGGATGGGGGACAACCAGGGTATGTGCAGGAGGACTAATTCCAGACTCGCTCTCCATACCCTAGCCATGCAGGTTTACTCACCAAGGTCTAGTACCTGAGGCAGGGCCAGCTCTGTGTGAGAGGTGACTTTAGTCTCTGCTCAGCGCTTCAAAGGCTACAGGATGCCAGGGGCAGGTTGGGAGGAATACCTGAGGTCAATCCCTACAAACAGTGAGCCTGCCATCACTGATAAAGAGGCTCTCACTGCATATTAGCAGGAGTACACGCCCCCAGCGCACAGCACACACACACACACACACACACACACACACACACACACACACACACTTCCTAGCACCAAAGCCTGAGCTGGGGGAGGGGCAGGACCTGGAGGTCAAGGTAAGGCCCATGGGAGATGGAACAACAAGGTGTCTGGAATAGCTTGTCCAAGGCACCAGGGGACTTCCACCCAGCCCTCTGGCCACTGCCAAGGCTGCTCTTCTGGCCAGGAAGCTGCATCCTGGGAGCACTGTAGATTCTCAAAAAGACCAGCCATCTCTCCTGCTCCTGGCAACAGTCGCTAGCCTCAGGACACTGCTGTATTCATCCTCTGCTCTGAGGACAGGTGCATGGGACAGAGGTGAAGCCTCAACTGCCAGCAAGCTCGGACCTGAAGTGGCAGGAGCCTGGGTGACCAGCCTTAGGTCTGGGAAGGGTGAGCAGCGCAGGAATCTGCACCATAGGCTGAGGAGTGAGTTCATCCCGTCTGTATCCTATGGCCCAGGTTTTCAGGACCAGTGGGGCAGGAGCTCCAGGCTGAGTAGGTCCAGAGAACGGGGTGGGCACAAGACGACCTGAGGCATGATGATCGCAGGGCCTCCTCTCCCAGGCCACTTTACAGACTTGGGGCTCCGCCTTCTCCAGACCTCACACAGAACCCAGTGGCAGTGGGCAATGAGGGTAGACCACCCTGGGCCACCTCACAGCTCTCCCTCCAGAGTCTCAGCCAGCTTCTCCTCATCTGCCTGCTGCCTCTGCTGCTGGATCCGAGCGTAAGAAATGGCATCACCCCTAGGGGGAGAAAAGAAGCTGTTCCATGGGCCCAGCCCTCCCACTGCCAACTCCCAGGCTGCAACCCAGATAGGACCTGCAGACGTGTTTCCCCAGAGGTCACCGTCAAAGGGACAGAGGCCTTGCTCCTCTGAGAGGGGCACATGGTCCTGGTACTGACAAAGCAGAAGGGGGGAGGTGGCAGTTGGCTAGTGTCTGGTGCATACCTGACGGAGTGCAAGCCAGGCAAGAGGGGCCACCTACATTATCCCCTGAGTTCTTGACTCTGTTCCTAAGAGCACAGGTAAGTCACTTATGGCCACTGTGCATAACTAGACAGAGGGTTCCACCCAGACCTTTCCCACTTGAGATGGGGTAGCAGGGGCAGCAAAGGAGGCCCCACCCTGGGGTTGGGCTGCAGACGCACTTTTTGCCCAGGGCAGATAGTCCGTACAGCACCCCGGTGGCAAAGGCGATGGCGTTGCCCAGCAGCGTGGTCAGGGTCAGGCTCATGACGATGGGAACGATGGCCATCCTAGGAGAGAACAGAGGTCAAGGGTGCACTCCCACCCCATGTGTTGGCCCTGTGAGGTCCTCAAATATCCCTTCTGGAAGCAGAATTTAGAACCATATCGGGTCTTCATGGCAAGATCTGTGACCCACAAATGGTTAAATAGCAAACATCTGGGTATATGACCCTGCTGTTCATTAGAACAGAGAGGCTGGGGCCAGAGGATGGGGGTATGGTCCATCCGTACAGTCCTGTGACCAAGTTAGCTTCTCAAGGCTCCATCTCCACTATATAGTGGGGTCAAACCTGAGATCCTGATGTCAGGTGAGGACTGCTGGCCACTTATCCCACACCCACCTCACACTGAAGGAACACTCTCATCAGTACAGCAATCCTGGGCTAGCTGTACCTCAACAAGCACCACCATCCCACCCCACCCTGACCCCCAAACCCCGTTCATGCCCAGGAGAACACTCTCAGTGCAGCTCTAGCTGGGGCTTCAGTAGCAGGCTGGCACCACCTGGTGGTGGGTCCATTCCACCTAAGACTCTGCAGATCAGGCTTGAGGGATGGGATTTTCCAACAGGAGGTGAGTCCCAGACAGGCTGACTCAGGAAGGTTCTGGAGCCTGCAGCCCAGTCCTCAGTCCAGCCACTTCTGGAGAGGAGGCACCCGGAGCAGGAAGATGACACACACTCAAAGCCAACTTCACTCCTTGAACTTCCGGTGTAGATTTCATTATAGCAGAAGTGCTTCAAAGTGTGGAGGGTCCTTGACTATAGTTGACTACGGTCCATCCATGGTTGTGCTTGCGGTACTCAGCAGACATTGGTTAGAGTTCTGAGTCCCAAGCCACCTTATGAGGCACCATACCAAGTCACAATGCCCAGTGTCAGGGCTTGAAGCATGGTGAAGCTTGGTAACAGCTGCGTTTGCTAGGTGAGGTGTGCTACCATGTTTTCAAGAGGATATCTGTTTTATCAAAACGGAAACCCGTCTTAAGTTCAGGGTTTTCTATAATAAAATAATAGTTTATCTCAGGTTTGACTCCACTTTTTCGAGAAAAAAGATCACACGAGGAAAACCATTAACACTAAAGGCAAACAGGCTGGAAAAACCAGAATGGGAAACATAGCATAGGAATCTGAGGTCTTTAATACTGAAAACACACAGCCTGCAAAGTCAAACATTAAAGCTCTCAAAAGAACAGGACCAGAGACCAGAAACCTTTTGAGAAAGAAAATGAATGAGAATATACAGGAGGGTATTTTACTTCCTAGACAATAAATATAAACATTAAAGTAGCACTGTGGGGGAGGGGGGACACCCAGATAGCCTCTTGGGAAAGAAACTGAGTCACATATGTTAAGATCTTTTGAATGACCATAGCCTTTGGCCTGGTAATTTCACACCTGGAAACATCTCCTAAGGATGTCATCATGGTAGTTTTGGCAGACAGATGTTCACCAGACTTGACTGACATCAGCTAACAAACTAAAACAAAGGCACTATGTCCAGCTGAATAAATGTGTTTAACATTAAAAGGAAGGTCATAGTCTTTGTGATGACACTGAATATGAATACTACAGCAAGTCAAAAAAGCAGGTTCAACCTTTATAAGCATGTTTAGCAGTCATAACCATGTTAAAGATGAGCTTCAAAAGTGTCTGGATTGACTGGGGAAACACAATAGGTAGTGAGGTCTGGAGTGACCATTTTCTACTTTACAAATGACTTTTGCTAAACATACTACTGTGAATATCATGACAACACATCTTAAAAACTCAAAGAAAGCCAGGTACGCTGACTCACGCCTTTAATTCCAGCACTCAGGAGGCAGAGACAGATGAATCTCTGTGAGTTCAAGGTCAGCCAGGTCTCAAATACAAAGGGTGGGGAAAAAACCGAAGGGGTGAGGAGACAGCTTAGTTGGTAAAGTGCCTGCTGCATGTGCATGAGGCCCTGCTTGGATCCCCATAAAAACCCAAGTATTCAGGGCTGGTGAGGTAGAGACAGGCAGTCGAGCCAAATTTGTGAGCTCCAGGTTCAGTGAGTAACCCTATCCTTAAAAACAAGAGAAAAGTGACTGAGAAAAATCCGCACACATGTGCACCTACATATAGGTATGCATGCGTGTGTGTGTGCGTGTGTGTGTGTGCGTGAGTGCATACACACACAAACCAAAGAACATCATGCTAGCCTGATTAGAACTTTGTGATCCTACAATCCCTTTAGATTTAGACATAACAGAAAACCGCCAGCAAGCACACACTCATTGTATATTCTCACTGCCGAAGCCGCTGAGCCTTCACCAAGCTTTGGTCTAACCTGATCGTAAAGATAAATTGTGATAAATATCACTGCCTAGCTGGGCCTCTCATGCAAAAAAAAAAAAAAAAAAGCCCTTCTCTTAAGCTTCTGTGTATTCAATTTATCTCGGAAGTGGTGCAGTCTTATGACACTTGTCAGAACCAAAAGGAGAAAACGTATTTAGAGGAAAATGGTGTTTTCTGTTCTTCAATCTCATGTCTGAACTTCTAGGTTGGTCACACTCCTTTCAAGGCTGCATAATGCCCACACAGATCTACTATGACCTACCTGGCAACTCCCAGCTGCTTCCCTGCCCCCTCTCCCCACACTCGCGCACACACACACACACGCACACACATACACACACACACACACTGCTGCAAGCACCACAGATCTTAGAACACTTGTGTGGCCATAGCTGCCAGCTGAGCTCCGGCAGGCAAACACTGGGTCCCGCTCTTTAGCAGCTGTTACTGGGTGGGCCAGTGGCTGTGTCCACAGCTATCCAATGAAACTCCTGCAGGAAAGAAAGGCCTCTACCTGTTCCTGCCCCGCCCACCTCTCCAATACCTGCTTTAGTCAGTAAGAGTTTGGGGAGCCATGCCATAGGCCCTGCCCAACAGCCCCTCACCCGCAGTAGAACACAGCCTTCTGCCAGGAGCGCAGCCGGTCCACCTTCTCAGCTACTGTGTTTGCAAACTCCACGAACTGGCAGCAGAAGGGTGCCTCGCACAACAGCAGGACGAAGGCATTCATGCTGCAGGGGCAAAGGCAAAAAGGACAATGACAGTTGACAACCTGGGGCTGCAAAAGCCTTCATGCCAGTAGTTCAAGGAACACCACTCTCCCACAGGCCCTCAGAAGTAAGCACCTAGATGCTACAAAGTACCTGTTTCTGCCAAGCAGTTCAACGCCCCACCTCACCCTACTGCTGTAGTTGCATCTTTAACTGCCCAAGCATGCTGGAGGAAGAGCCTGGTATCTGATCTCCTTATCCTTCCAACTGTGAAATGAACTCAGTCCCTTGCCTTGATGTTTTCTTGAGCCAGGAGCATGTTCATCCACAGAACTTAGCCATAGTGCCAGCTGCTAGGAGTATTATCATAGTCACCAACACTGCCACTGAGGGCAGGCTGCCCCCAGTCGTTGAGGACCGCTCATAGCCTGAGGCCTGAGACCATGTGGGTCAGGCAGATCGAGGCAGGGCAGTGGGCAGCCCATGCTGGGAGCTTCTACTCAGGTGGCTTCAATCCTTGCCCAGTTGCTGGGAGCAGCTAAGCTGCTGGTGTTGAAGGCCTTGGCTTCCATTGGTGGGTAATGGTCATAACCAGACCACATTTGGAAGAAAGTGCTGTTGACATAGCTCTTGTAATTCTTGACCACTGCCTACCCACCGTGGCTGCTTCTCTTCCAAATATCAGCTCACTATTCTGCCAATCTGTACACAAGCTCTACAGTTCCCATCCTCACCACCTTGGGCCAGCACAGGCCTCTACACACATCACCACAAGACCGAAATCACCGTGGCCTAGGCCTAAGGCAGGACTTGTACCCTGCCCCAAATGACTGTGTAGGCACTAACAAATGCTAATGCTTCCCCTGCGCCTTGAGCAGCCCTCTCTCTGGCGCCCCCTCCTGGGATGCAGCTGCCAGGAAGAGGGTGATAAGGAGCGCACCAGTGGATGCTATAGCCACCAGTTACATCTGCATCTGCCCCCCTAACTAGCCCTGCTCACCGCCTCACGGCTGGTCGACCACCCTCTTCTCTCCCTCTTAGACCCCCAACTCTGACCTTACACACCATGGCTCTGGAGCTCCGAGAGGGAAGATCCCATTGCAGTGGATGAGGAGTCTACAGTGTTGAGCGGGGTAGATAAGGGCTCAGCTGGCTGTCCCCCTGGCCCATCACTGGTGGGAGCAGGGCGGGGGATAAGACCTGCATCCCAGACCTCAAGCCCCACTGGGGCGGGCCATTCCCAGCTACTCACATCATCCACACGCCAGCTGCAATATTCAGAGGGTGGATGGTGACACAGTTGAAGAGTCCAGAGATGGCACAGGCTTCAAAGCAAATGACATGGGCAGGAGTTAGCGGAGTATGTGGCAGACACGGCAGAAGGCTGTCTGGGCAGACACTGAGAACATGCTCAATACTAGGGCTTCCCTCAGCCACCCACCCTCACCTGAGACAGCTAAGAGTAAGACTCGGTAAGCCTGTTCCTGAACCTCAAATCCAGCTACTTTCACACTTGGAGGGATGGTAAAGGCAACGCCCTTCTCAAACCTAAGGCTCTGATAGGCCAGCTCTTGGTTCCCAGCTCTTATCAAACCCCCCCTCAAGAGGTCAGGCCTGTTCTGCTCTCAACAAAAACCTTAGCAAGGGCCACCAATCACAAACTAGGCTGCTCAAAAAGCCCTCTGAACTGGAAAATTCTACTCAGATTTAGTTGAGCTTGTTTGTTGTTGTTTAGGCTTGCTTGATTAGGGTTTTGTTTTGGGGTTTTTCCCCCTGTTGAGACAGAGTCCTGCTCTGTAGCCCAAGATACACTATCCTGCTTCCTCAGCCTCCTGGGGGCTGGGATTACAGGCACGTGCCACTATGTCTGGCTACGGCTTGAATTTGGGTCAGGATAGGGATGCTTCTCATGATACACTGATGGGCATCAGGTAAGATCCAAATGACAGCTCCACATCTAAAACACCAGCCAAGTGATCCATCCTGGGCACGTAGCCCCCTAAGCTCATTTTCTCTCCTACACATGGCCATGCTGTGTCCCAATTCTAGAACAGCAAGACGCCATGCAAGGACAATGTGTCCTCTTCGTCCCCATCATAGAACTTGACTTCAGTGTGGAGCCTGAGGCTCTTCTCTGTCAGCACCTCAGGGATACAGTCTGCCACACCCACTCACAGCCTGCAGCTGGCTTCACCAGGAAGTCCCTCACCAGGAACTCTGGGAGCCTCTGAGGACATTCCTGGGAGTTGCCCAGCTTGGCAGGACACAAGCCCAGATTGTCGCCAGGGAGGGGCAGAGTGTTGGCCCTCTGAGGCTGCAATTAGCAACCAACTCATTAAACTTGCAGCAGGCCTATGGCACCTGATCCCTCCACTGGGCCTGGAATTCCACCGTTTTCCTCTTTCCTGTGTTACACTATGCAAATGGAAGCTGATGCAGGAGAATGGATCTGAGTGGCCCAGCTCCTATGCCATAAAACCTCCTTCTCTAATAAAGAACCCAAGGCAGCACTCACCCATGTGTGGCTCTGGCCGCAAAGCTCCTGGGGACACAAAAGTGAGGGACTACGCACCTCCTGCCTGTGTGGAGTGGGGCCTGGTCTCGCCTGAGGGGCCTACACTGCTGGCATCAACATTCCATCTGTGGCTCCACTTCACCCAAGCTGTCCTACACAGACAGCTTTGGGGAGGACCAGGTCACAATGCAGAGAAACGAAAGTCCTCTGACAACCAAGGACTCAGATACATCCACTTGGACTGCTACTACTACGTCCTCCATAAAAGGCGGATGTCACTACGCAATCCTCTCTTCTTTATCGCTACTGTCTACAGATGCCTTTGGGACCAGAATAAAGCCCGCCAAGGCCCTTCACTCTAAGAGAAGGCAGCCCTATGCCAAAAGTGACTGGCTAAGACACAGCTCTTGTCGGAAACCCCCTACTGAATTTCTAAAGCAAATACCACTTTGCCCCTCCCCCCAAATCTGTAGGCTCAGGGGACAGTTGAAGTTAGTGCCACGGGTTTCCCCTAAGATTTCAACTATGGTTCAGCCCAGAAGGAGGGCTGCGTTGGGGGAGACCTTCTGGAGTAGCATAGACACCCACTTTAGGAAGCACAAGATTGGGTGGGATTTCCAAAGTCAATCTAGAAGTCACCAGGGTCACTGATGGGATCACCAAGATGGAGGGAGGGCGGTAGCACGTAAGTCATGGTCAGGATCTTCCTTGCTCCTGCATCCCCTTAACACCACCTTGAAATAGCTAACTGCACTGGAGAGGATTTGAATTCAACCTCAGCAAATTTCCTCTGGAACTGCCTTGCCAGGGCAGCACACAACTAACCCCACCCGATCCGCCTGAACTTCTAGCGGGAGCCTCTGAATAGATGGGGCTCCTAGTTACTCCTTCAGGCAAGAAAGCAGATGGGTCTGCCCTACCCACACAGTTTCGGCTCCTGTACCAGGTAGGCAATGTGATCCTCTGACCTCCCTTTCCTGAGACCAGTATTCCCCCTGCGCTTCTAGGAATTCACAATGAAAGGGACAGGCAGGATTTAGGAAACACATTCCGTTCAAAGGTCTGGTTTGGAAGGCCAGCAACACAGCTGCACATAAGAGGCAGACCTGCCTTTCTCTTTTATCCTTTTAGAGCTCTCTGGGACCTAAGCTCAGGGGGTGTGAACCACGGATTGGTGTGGAAGATTCCGTGCCGGTGAGAAGCATTAGGAGTGTGAACAGCTGAAGAGCGGGGGTCTAAATGGACAGTGAGAAACCAATGAGCTGCCTCTCCCGCAACCCCTGCCCAGCCATCCTTTAGGGCCATCTACACCCCCCCCCCCGCCCCCAGCACCGTCAGACTCTCAAGCAAACTTGCTAGCCTGTGGCGACCTGCCCCCGCCCCCACTTATGAACAAGCTTTGCCCAAAGGCTGAGAATTCGGCAGTCCCACCCCAGCCCAGGTAAGCATCGCCAGGCCGAGAAGGACCAGGAAAAAGAGAGACGCGCGTCCTCTGAGTCTCGGCTCCTCTGGACAAGGCCAGGTCAGCTCGGCCTCTGGCCACCGCACTTCGGGTGGCAGAACACAGGCCCGAGGCCAGGAGCCATGGCAACCCCGGGACGCCCGCTCCCCCGGCCGCGGTACTCACACACGGCCCCCAGCACGCCCGCCAGGCGGCACAGCCAGCGGTACCACCATGTCATGCCCTCCTCCTGCGCCGGCGGGGCAGGGCCCGTGGCCGCCCCGGCTGCGCCCGAGCCGCTCATAGTGCTGGGACGCTACGCTCTAGGCTGTGCGCAGCCCCAGGCACGCACAAAGGGACGTGTCCACCCGCGCACGGCCTTGTGGGAGAGGCAGAGATTAGCATAGGGGCGGACCCGCAGGCCTGTAGTAGGCGGAGGGCGGGGGGAGGGGGGGGGACAGGCGTATATTAGCATAAGGGGCGTGTTTACAGTCGTTAGACTCTCCTTGTCGCCGAAACCCAGCAGGTAGGCAGGATTCGGACTGGCCTTTTTGAGTCCCAACATTGGAAGACGTCGTTTAGAAGTGGCGAAGGCCCTACTCAAATGGCCAGGAAACCCCACCTTGCAGTAGAATGAGCTTTCAAGTCCTGCTGGGACAGGTTATGGAAGGAAAACGCCAGTCAGGTTTCCTGTATCCTTTATTAGCAACTGGGGCTGGGACTGCATTTCCCGATCTCCACCTCCCAGCCCCAGCCCTTCTGCACCTGGAAAAGCCCCTAAAAGAGATTCCCCAGGGCTGGCAGGCGTTAGAACCTCTCAAGAGGCTAGTGTTGCACTCTCCAGGGCTGGTCACTTAAGTGGAGAGTTGCCTCCCTTTCTGACGGTTGGAGAGAACTTTCTGGCGGTTGGTCAGGACAGAGTCAAACTGTTGTCCTGTTCCCGTGTCCTTGGTGGGATGGTCCAGTACTGACCCTGGAGGCTGGTATGAGCCTCCAGGAAACCAGGACTAAACTCCAGTTCAGCCTCGCTGCCTTCAGACTCCCAAAAGAGTGCCTGCTGCCCCCAAAATGTTGTGGTCCTCAGGCTGTGGATATCTCTGATCTGGGGAGAAGCAAGTAGCCGATAGAAACCATGAGTGACCATTATCTAAATTTATAGACTCCTGGCTACTCAGAACCATGTTTGATTCTCACAGGAGCCCCCCCTCCATGAGGGACATGCTGTTCTAACTGCAGTTCAGAGGCTTGGGCTGCTCCCCTAGGATACACAGCCAGGAGCCAGAGCTGGAATCGTGCCCAGGCCTGATTATGGGGTGATCTGATATCTTGTAGAGCACACAAATCCGCAACCCTACCTATGCTCTTCTGGAAAAAAAAAAAATTACCAGGCCTGAACATGATGCTTCCTCCCTGATCAACAGGCAGTCTACCCCCAGGAAGGTTTTCCCTCTTGGTTCTTGTAGGTGGAGTAGCAAGCATTTGCTGGTGAGTTAGTGTGGAGGAAACCCTCTTTCCCGTTCTTTCAAGTAATTTTGAAGTTTGGGGTGAGAAATAAACTGAAAGGGTTCCCTAAACCCAGCATCTCCGTTCTCCTTCCTAGAGACAGCTCTCCAGAAGCATATTAAAAGTCACCCCATTTCTGTCCCCATCCTGGTGACCTCACCGAGACATAGTTGGCATTGATCCTCTCAGAGGCAGTGCCTATGTCACTGGCCAGGGCACGGATAGCAATGCGGGCCTGTGGGGCCACACTGATGAAGAGCCGGCAGCTCCTTGCATTCCTCCCGTCTGGGCTCCGTTGGGGGCTCACAATTTCACCCCGAGGTCCAAAGAGCTGCCTGTCACATTCTACAGGCAAGAACAAGCGGATTGGCTGGCTGTGGACCTCCAGAGGGAGACTAAAGATTCCAGGGTGGTCCCTAGCAGACTCCCTCCCCCAACAGCTGCTGAGCCTTCATTCAGACCACTTCGAGCATCAGGCAGTGATCTGGAAAGGGGAGGTGAGGATGGCTCCACAGGCGAAGTGCTTTGTGCAAGCCTGACAGCTTGAGTCTGATTGGTAGGACCCTCACGGTGGGAAAGAACCTCTGACACTGCCCCCTGCCCAACAACACACACACAAAACAATTTTTTTAAGGGAAAGGAGAGCTGATGAGATAGCTCATTGGGTAAAAATCTTGGTTCTTGCCACACAAGCCTGACAACCTGAGCTCAGTCCTAGGAACTCACATAAAGACAAAAGGAGAAAATCGACTCCATGGAATTGCCTCTGTCCTCCACACCCACACCATGCCATGCGCACGCCCACACACATGCATCACACACACACAATCATAATACTAATAATAAATTATAATAAATTGAAGGGACGGAAAGACTCCCTTCTTGGTTCTCTCTGCTGTGAGGAGGAGGGAACAGTGGCATGCTTTAGGCAGGGAATTTTAAAAGAGGATTCAATGGGGACTGGAGAGACGGCTCAGAGGTTTAGAGCATTGACTGCTCTTCCAGAGGTCCTGAGCCAGCAACCACATGGTGGCTCACAACCATCTATAATGAGATCTGGTGCCCTCTTCTGGCCTGCAGGCATACATGCAGACAGAACATTATACATTAAAAAAAAAAAAAAAAAAAGGATTCAATGAACTTATACTCCAAAGTACTTAAAATACAAAACTGGCAGAAAAGTTGGGCTTCAGTTATGCTGTCCACAGCTATCATCGGTAGTTGGTGAACCCCACTTGCCTGCACCTAAGCTTCCTGTAAGACAGATTGTCTGCATGTGAGAAGTGAGAGGCACTGAGAAGGAAGTCACTGGGCTTCCCAGAAGGAACCCAGCACCTGTGCCCTTAGCCACTAGCACAGCTTACTGCTGGTGGCAGCTGTGGGAAAGGGTGACACAGTCACACTAAGCTTTTGCAGAGGCCATGCCCTGTTGTACCACTTTCAGATGCGGCTTGGGCCATGCGGAAACATCTGGAATTGGCAAGGTAAAAGACATCTTCAGTCACCTTGGGCTTCTACATCAGACCTCTAAGGTGATCAAGAGGGCTCTCCGAGGACACTGTTTGGGCTCTGGGTAAAGCAGGAATCGGTGAGATGCCCTCTGTCTGAGCAGTATGTAGTGCGAGCATCTTTCTGTGGGTGCTAGCGAACACGTATAAGTCACAGAAAGCAGGCTGAGGGAAAGTGGCTCGCCGACCTGAGAGGACCTTGTAAGCGTTGAGAACCAAGGTCGGGGGAATGGGGCAGTGGCCTGAGGGATGGAATAAGGACGTGGACCATATCAATTCCATCTATCTAGCTTCATGGCCACAGAGGAACCCCATCCTGACCTTTCGGAAGACATCACCTGCTCCCAGTTTCCAGCTTGACCAGCTCTCTCTTGGCCTGCCCATGACCCTGTTGGAAATGCTCTGTGCGTTGGCTGGAGAGATAGCTCAGAAGTTAAGAGCATGGGCTGTTCTTCCAGGGGTCCTGAGATCAATTCCCAGCAGCCACATCGTAGCTCATACCATCTAATGAGATCTGGTGCCCTTGTCCGACATCCAAATATATGTATATATATATATATATATACAGGCAGAACATTGTATATATAATAAACAAATAAACCTTTTTTTAAAAGGAAAGAAAAAATGCCCTGCCACAGCAACACAGGCCTAGCTACCCAGTGAGAAGGCAGGAGGCCCAGGCACCTGGCGTACCTCTGTAGAAGGTCCCTGGGGCAGGTTGGCTCCAATACCGTAGCAGTACTCCCCGTCCTGGCTGCACACGATGCTGCCTCACCACCAATGTGTTGGTTTTGGTGCTAAAAGTCATGCCAGACATCTTCCAGCATATCTTTCTCCATGTGAACCTGCCCCAAAGCAGCAACAGCTCCCCTAGAAAGGGCAGGAGAGTGAGAAACCAGCACCCCACTCAAGTCAGCAACAATGGCTCAGGGCTGAGTTCAAACCACCACTCTCTCTCTTACAGGCTAATGTGGCTACATAGGGGGCATGTCACCAAAGCTCTCATCCCCCTAGTTTCCTGACTTATAAAGGGACATCCCCACGTGCCAGTCATGAGACAGCCTTAAAAATGCCAAACAGGGATATCCTGCCAAAAAATGGGATGTGCTGGAATTGTGCCACAGGGCCCCAAGCTCAGCAGTTGCCCACCTGCCTCTGGATGTACCTGCACTACACTTGAGGGTGCTCTCGAGGATTTGGACGGTCACCACTTCACCTAGAGGCCGCCCAATGGCCACCACACAGTCTACCTGCCCTTGACCTCGCAGGTCAATTGTTCCCGTGGGTTCCAGGTACTGCCTTCCACAGGCACCTACAGAGGGCGAGAGGGAAGTGAGGCGACCAGAGCAGAGCAGGGCTGAAAGTGAGGGCTGGCAAAGGGTGAGGAGGGGGCTGTGAGTCAGAGCACCAGTCACCATGCCGGGCACTAGGCCACTTCTGTGTGCTTCAGGGGAACGGAGGCAGTGTGCTGTGTGGGCTTGGGGCTACACGAATCTGAGCCCCTGACCCTGCAACCTTCAGGTTACTTGAAGGGGACAGAAGTAAAAGTGTGACCTCTGAACTGGAGAGATGGCTTAGTCAGTAAAGTGCTTTCTTGAAAGCATGAGGACCAGAGTCCAACCCCCAGAACATACATTTTAAAGGGCGGGTATAAAGGTGCACATTTAGTCCCAGCACTGAGGAGGCAGAGACAGGTTGATCCCTGGGGCTCAGCCGGCCAGCCTAACCTACTTGGGTAAGCTCCAAGCCAATGAGAGACCCTGTCTAAAACAAGATAGACAGCTCCTGAGGAATGACACCCAAGGTTGTCCTCTGGCTTACACACACACACCTACCTGCACCTATGTACACATAAACACAAGCGTACACATTCAAACATGAAAAGCAAAGAAGGCCCCGGACCCAGTGGCACATGGTCTAGTGCCTGAGCGCTTGCCCAGGCATGCCCGGTCAAGATGTCAACCTCCCCAACAGGAGGCAGGAAGAAACCTAACCATACTCTTCCAGGTTTTCCTGGATCCCCAGAGACTGGGAGACTGGAAAGAGGGTGTGGCCTTGGGCTTGGGTCTGGGACCACTCCAGAGAAGCAACAGTAACAGCAGCCTGCGTCTGGCTGGGAAGAGTAGCTTCCTTGTGGGCCAGTGAGCTGGGGATCTCCTGCCCTGCACAGGGTCCAGCCCAGCAGCCCCTCACTGTCACTGGCTTGGGTAGGTGCTGGCAGAAACTGGCTGGCACAGGCACTTGGGCCTGGAGTCCAAGGCAGGTATCATGCCGGCGCTGGATGCCATCCCCACAGGAGACGGAGCACTGTCAGGAAAGAGGGGGAAGATCATGGTGACCCTCTCAGAGAGACCACAGGACAATGTGATGTGATGTCACTCCTTCATATCCTGGTAAATGGCAGGTGTCTCTGCTGTACAGATGAGGAAATTAGAGCTAAAGAGATGCTTTTGTGGGGCCTCACGTGTGTACAAGACCTGAGATTTTGGTCTCGGGGTCCAGCTATCACTGTCTCAGCCTCTTTGTCCCTCAGAGCCGTAAAGAGGGGTCCTGGGTGACCTTCTCTACCTATAGCTCATTTGACCCTAAAGTACATGTTTGTCCTGCCCTCCTGCAGTTCCTTTCTTTACCTGATGTCCAGATTCCTTCCGACTTCCGACCAAGGTCAGGTGAGGTGGGGAGCAGGCCCCCGAGGGCTGCAGTTTATCCTGTCTGTTCTGTCTGTGCTGTCTGCCACCATGAGTGAGCTCCTCCCAGGGGGACCAACCCTGATCTCTCTGGTGATTTTCTGGTGCTTGTCACAAGATAACACTGGTCTCTGGTAGTGAGGCTCCCAGTATCTGCAGATGCCAGGCTTCTCTCAGCCCAGCTGGGAGTCTCCATGCCTTGCTGTGTCCCTGGCTCAGTATGCACCACAGTAGGGTCATAATGAATCAGCACCACAGGCCCCCTCATGCACAGACCCCTTGTGGATGCCTTGCTTAGCTCCAGCTAGAACTCCTGGTATCAGACTGCCCTTACCTCTGTCCAGGTGCTGATGTGCCACCGGTAGGCACAGTCAGTAATAAGGCAGGGGACTCTGGCCTGGGGCCGCACCAGAGCCTTACAGAAAGTTTCATCCACCTCACTGTCATGGCCTCGGTCAAGCTGCATGCAAGTCACCGTTCGTGTGGCAGTGCCAAGGCCGCAGCTGGCTGAGCACGGGCCAAGGGACAGGATTTTCCATCTGCAGGAAGAGCAGACCCCAATGACAGCTGGGGCTTTGTGAAGGCTAGGTCACTTGTGGGGGACTCTTGAAGAACCCCCCCGTTCCCTCAACAATTGTCTGCACACGTTCCCTGGCCACTGAAATGTCTAGCTGGCCATGGGTTTCCACTGACCTCATGAACTACAATGTTGCCCATGTCGTTGGCTGGCCCAGTACTGCTCTGGGACACTGGGACCCAGGGCAATGGTATGAGCCACACCAAAACCCCACCTCAGGGGCATGTGGCCTACACCTTGCCACCAGTGGCATCTAACCCTGCATGGCCCTTTGTCCTGGGGGGGCCTGTCCTGCGCCCTCCATACAGGCATGACTAGCTTCTGCCCACTAGGAGCCAATAGCAAATGTCCCTAGTAGTGACCATTAAACTTAAGTTGTCCATGTGCTCTTTGAGGCAGAATCATGCCTGGCTGAGAAACTAGGGCCCTAGAAAGAAGAGAGACCACAGACAGATCGGTGCTCATTACAGTGGCCACACAACATCCCAGTGGTAACCAGAGTTCATGTGTGCACGCTGTTCCCATTTAACATACAAAGAAAGAAAGATTTAGCTGGGTGTGGTGGCACATGCCTACAATCCCAGCACTTGGGAAGTGAAGGCCTGAGGCTCAAGAATACGAGGTTTTCTTCAGCTACATAGAGAATTTGAGGCTAGCCTGGTCTACATAAGACACTGTCTTATAAAAAACAACAACAATAGACCCAAACCATAGATCATTTGTAAATATAACATGCAAGAAAAATACAGGCATACAGACTGTTTAGCAGAAACAAAGGATAAGATACATGTGCTTTGGGTATCAAGTAATTTCTAAGCTATAAAATTTTAAATCTTTACATATACCTGATGAAAAGAAAACCTGACAGGCTGTGGTAGTAGCTCTTCCATTTCTGCAGGGAATGGTATCCCTGCCTTCCCATACACAGAGCCTGCAGGCTTTCCCACAGCTGTGCCTGTAGAACTGACAACCCACCAGCCATTGTACTTGAACCTCAGCTCCCACATCCAGCTTGGTCTACCAAGCAGCCCTGCTGTCTGCAGTGTCTGAGCTATTACTGTGCCTTGCAATCTCCAGGAGTCCTGCCTGGAGTCTGTGCACTGGGCATACCCCTCCCACACTATACCCCACCTTCACCTGGGAGGACAGGGCTCCGGGCTGCAGGTCTCGTGGGACTCGGGACGAGGCAACCCCTGGCACTGGGTATCAGGCAGGATCTCTTCATCGTTATCCTCTCCATGAGCCTGGGCACAGTACAGGATTCTCCGTGCGAGCCCTCCTCCACAGCTCACACTACAGGCTGCCAGCTTATAACGCCACCTGGGAAAAGTTGAAGTTAGCGGAACCCAAAGGGCCGCATACCTTCCCCTCATTTCTCCAATGGGAAGACATAGGTTGGAAAGGGCATGGAGAGCTTTTGCTCCTCCAGGAGGCTCAGGACAGTGGGCAGAGTATTCAAACCAACCTACTTCACAGAAGGGGAAGCCTAGGGCAAACAGAGGTTGGATCTAAAAGGCAGGAGGGGAAAATTTGGGGTACCATAAGGAACCTGCAAAGGTGGCTGTCTGTAATGGAAATCCTAGCACCAGCCTCACTCCGGAACCTGCCATCAGCCATGCCAACTTTCCTAGCCACCACGGTTGGCTCTGTTGCCCCAAACACTGCTCATCACACAGTCTCATTCATGGTCCATCACCCCCAGTGTCAGTTTCAGGAAGGCCAGGACATCTTTCTCCTTTGTCATTGCTGTGCCCTCTGGATGCAGATAGCACCTGGGCATTGCAGGTGTTCAGTAAAGAGCGTGCAATGAATCACTGTTCCATCAACATATGTGGTTGAAGGGGCCAGGTCACACAAGCCTTGGGAAGTTCAGGCAGAAGGGTCATAAGTTAAAGGCCTACCTGGGATACATAATGAAGTTAGTGCGTAGCTTAGTGAGACCCTGTCTTGATATAAAAGTAAAAGGGGAGCTGGGAATATAGCTCAGTGATAGAGTGCTTGTTTAGAAGTACAAGACCCCAGTATTAAAGAAAGAAAAAGTGGCCATGAGTGGTGGAATACACCTTTGAGGTAAAGGTAAGTAGATCTCTGTGAGTTCTAGGCCAGCCTGGTCTACACAGCAAATTCTAGGCCAGCCAGGGCCACACAGTGAGATCCTGTCTCACAAAAAATTAAATAAATAGATTTTTTTTAAAAAATGTGCCTGCATTATTACTATCAGAGACCCCACAAATGTCCATCATCTGGGGGTGGTGGCAGAGCTGAATGCAGATCCAGGACTGCCCATCTCCCAGGCAAGGTACTCAGGGACAGGTTAGGTTAGCAGGACAGGACTCAGGGTTGCAGTCCTTGAAGGGGGATGGCCTAGCTACTGGCCAGCACTTTGAGTGAGGTAGAGATACAGGGCAGCCATGGTCCAGCTGCATACAATGAACAGGCACTGGCACCCATCCCCTTCCACAGGTCCCTGGGCATGGTGCCAAGACTTGTGCCTCCCACCCGAAGGACAATTCCAAGGCTTCATAGGAGACCAACCCCGGGGTCAGATTTCTTTCCCTGCACTCCATTCCCAGCTCACCTAGCAGGACATGGGCCAGCCTGGCAGACCTCCCACCGACTCAAAGGCTTGCTGGCCAAGTCGCATAGCTCTTCCTGGACAGGCATCTTGAGGACAGAATCCATGCACAGGAAATGCAGCTCCATCAGACCTGCCCGGGAGGAGTAGGGATGCTGTTGACCCAGTAGGCCAGCTTGTCGAGGACCACAGCATTTGTTCTCTGGTCAGCTCCAAAGCCAAGGTCCATCTGAGACTTACCAGCTGTGTGCACCTGGACAACTGATTTAACCTCTCTGATCCTCTGGTTTCCATATAACGGTATCTACCTAGCAGAATCACTTATAGAGATTGCATAATGAAGGGAGTGAGATGCCTGCTGCCCGGAACTGCTGTTGTTATTGAAGCACATTAGCCATTGCTGTAACATTGTCTCTTGGCCTCTACCCGTGCTCATGTAAGCAATCCTACTTAAATGTGATGGCCACAAATAAACAAACAAAAATATATAAAAGTAGGAGGGGGACTTGCTATAGAAAAAATAACATATATACACATGTGTATGTGTGAAAAAGTGGAAGAATAAGAATAAATAAAGCCAGGCAGTGGTGGCACACACCTTTAATCTCAGCACTTGCAAGGCAGAGGCAGGAGGAGCTCTGTGAGCTTTAGGCTAGCCTGGTCTACAGAGCTAGTCCCAGGACAGCCAAGGTTACACAGGGAAATCCTGTCTGGAAAAAAAAAAGGAGAAAAAAAGAAAAGAAAGAAAGGAAGGAAGGAAGGAAGGAAGGGAGGAAGGGAGGGAGGGAGGAAGGAAACCGAAAAAAAAAAAACCAAGCAAACCAAAAGGAAGAAGTTTTTTTTTTTAAGAGTATCTCTTGAGGGCCAGGGTAGAGTGCTTGCCTGTCATGCACAAAGCCCTAGATTCAATCCCTAGCACTGCACAAAAACTGTATATGTAGACAGGAGAGGAGAGCGGTCTGTGGTTAAGAGCTCACTATGCTCTTTCAGAGGACCCACGTTTAATCCTCAGAACCCAAGTCAGGCAACTCATAGCAGCCTGTCACTCCAGCCCCAGGGGTTCTGATGTCCCCCTCCGGCCTCTGCTGCACCTACACTCATGTGCACAAACCCTTGCACACACACACAAAAACACACATAATTAGACATCTAATAAATAAGTATTATGCATGCTGGCACAAGTCTACAATCCCAACACTCAAGAGATGGAGGCAGGAAGGAATTCCAGGTCATCCTTGACTACATAGTTAGACAGCAGCCTGAACTACCTGAGATCCTGCTGTGTCCATCAAAAAAGTACTGTTAGGGTTGGTTTTCTCCATCCATCCCTGAGGAATCTCTTTCTGGTCAGTTCTAAACAGATGTGTTTGGGTAAGCAAGTGGTTAGGGTTGTTTCAGGACATTGTGTGTCTCCTCACACCCTTCTCAGTACCATAGAATGGCTATTGAAAACTCAGGAAACAGCAAATATTAATAAAGATGTGAAGAAACTGGAACCCTGTGCCCTGCTGATAGGGATGTAAAATTCCATTCCAAAAACAGAAAAAAAATCCACTCCAAAAAGCAGTGCAGAGGGGTCTGCAAAACTGAAGCATGGCTTGGCAACATGACTTTGCAATCCTTCTTCCTGTGCTCACCAGAAGAACCAAGAATCAGACTGTGGGACATAGGCGCATGTCCAGAGCAGTTGTGCCAACAAAAGCGGAAGGGAGGCTGCTAGCAGGTGTCCGTCCACGCACAGGTGACAGAAACAGCACAGTCCAGCTCTACAGTGGAACACTCTTTGGGGCCAAGAAGGAATTCTGACACCATTACAGCATGTATGAACCTAGGTAACAAAAGCCAGTCACAGAACCATGCATTCCACATAGCTGAGGGCTGTGAGAGTCAAATTCACAGAGAATGAAACTAAAATGTGGAAGATCAGGGGCTGGAAGGTGGTGGATACTGGTGTTTAATGAAGACAGGGTCTAGTTTGGAAGGGTGAAATGTTCTGAATGGATGGTGATGGTGGCTTCATAACACGGTGGATATGATGAATGCCACTGAGTGAGACATTTAAAACATTACTGGTTGGGGCTGGTGAGATGGTTCAGTGGTTAAGAGCGCTTACTGCTCTTGCAGTGGACATGGGCTTGGTCCCTGGCGCCCCCACCCGGCAGCTTAGAGTCATCTGTAACTCCAGCTGGAGGGGATCTGATGCTTCTTTGGACGTTCATGGCTGCACATACATGATGCACAGACATATACACAGGAACATAAACACAAATAAATATTTTTACATGGCTAAGGAGTATGTGGGCGTTTTCCACAACAGGAAAGACAGAACACTTTTTTCTTGTGGGATACTTGATCACACGATGAACGCTGAGATTGTGCTAATTAAATAAAATCAGCCTCGGGTCAAGAGGTAGAGTCAGCAACTAGTTGACAGGAAATAGCCGTAGAGAGTAGAGGGAGTCAGAAAAGCAGATAGAGACATGCGCAGGAAGTAGTAGGGAGGGACTTTGAGTTTGGTAGTCTTTCTGGTTTGGGACAGCTGAAGAGAAGCTCTCTTTTCTGGGACATTGGCTAGGAAGAAGGTCAACTGGCTGCTCCTCGGCCTCTCTGAGTGAGCAGGTTTCCACCCTAGCATCTGACTCCTGAGTCTTTATTGGTAAAACTGTATGACTGAGGTTTAGTTTTAGAACAACACCTTTCATTTAAATGTACCTTTAACAGCTTTCAACTTTGGTGGTTGGGTTGCGCACAGCTCTGTAGGACTTAAGGGACACACTCTTGGGTGCCAGTCTTTCTAGAATTTATCTTTCTCTTTCAGTCAGGCATGAAACACATTTAGAGGACTTACTGAGTGCCATAGTCACATAGTTTGTCTTTCTTGGTAGCCCTCCTTCAGCACTGGTCTAGGCAGGTTAGTAGATAAGAAGTAGGAGAGGTTCCGTGACTGTCCCCAGTCTCACCTCGCCCACAAGAGGTGGAACACAGCCCCCTCACAGGAGTCCACACATGCACTGCCTGAGCTCCTGGCTTGTCACTGCCCACAGTGGTTGGAGCCTCCTCTCCCAGAGACACGGTGTCTGGCTAAAGAAAGCAATGAGCAGGTGAGTGTGGCATTTCACCTCTCCCTCTGAGCTCCCAGTTCCCCAGCTCCTATCCATTTTGGGAGGCAAGAGGGACTATTCCAGGCACACCAGGGATCTCCCGCTTCTGTTCTCTAGAGAGGTTTATGTCATGTCCTGGTAAAGCCCTCACCGTGTGCCTCACTTTGACCTGTGCAGGCTCCTTATCATTTCAAGTGTTCTCTGTGGGACGGGACTGGAAACTAAGGATCAGGAGTGGATTTGTAAGCATGCTTGGCCCTGCAGTCCCTAGCCCATAAGAATCCAGGGCCTTTCAGCCTGAGAGCAACATCATCAGCCCGGGTGATGGGCAAAAGATAGAAGAATTACTCGCATAGCAACTGGATGAATTCTTTGTTTGCTGTGCCTGTTATCCCTACAACTCAGGAGGCCTGGGCAGGAGGATTGGAAGCTCAGTGGCTGTGTGGGCTATAGACAGTTCAAGGCCAACTTGAGCAATTTAGTGAGACACTGTCTCAAAATTTAAAATAGATGAAGAAAAGGACCAGGGATATAGCTCAGTAGTAGAGTGTTTGCCTAGCATGTTGAAGGCCCTGGGTTTGGTTCAAAATGATCCCCTCTCAGATACTTCTAGCGGGCTCTATTTTTTCTTAGCCTGGCTTGCCCCTTTCGGAGGCACTCTAAGTGTGTCTGTCCTGAGAAGGACAGAGTCCTCACTCTGGCCTGCAGGAAGATGACAACCTATATTTTTCATCCTCCCAGCTAAGAAAGGACCCAGGAATCCTGGCCACCCTCCTTCCCCATCCACTCACCTGGCCCCAACCTGGAGAACATGTGGTCCTGAAACAGGGCTCCAGCGTAGGTGCAGTCTCATCTGTGAGACAGGGACCTGCAGTGGCTGCGTCCTGCAAGTCACCCACTCTGGACACACATGTCACATTTCTTGAGGCCAGATCTTCACAGGTGGGCATGGCAGGGTCAGGGTCTGATACCTCTGGTCTGAAGATAACACGTGGCTGTCATCAGGCTATGCCCCTGCTGTCTAGTGGGAGGTGCAGCCTAACTCCTGAGGGTGAATAGGAGTATCTAGGATTCCAATACATAGACCCCATTAAAAAGCAAAGCTCAGGGGCTTTCTCTGAAGCACTGGTTCAACACACCTCAGGTTTTTCTCAACAAGAACTCTGTATCTTTGGACAGTGAGATGGCTCAGCGGGCAAAGGCATCTGCCTCTACCCCAACAGTCGTCCCAGGGTCCCAGGGTGGAAGGATAAAACTGCTGTAAGTTGTCCGCTGAGCTCCACTCTTACACCATGGCTCACTCACAGGTGTGTGTGTGTGTGTGTGTGTGTGTGTGTGTGTGTGCGCGCGCGCGCGCGTGTGTGCATATGTGTGCATGTGCACACATAGTTGTAATTTAAAGGTTAAAAAATGAACTTAATGCATGCCAACCACACATTCCACCTGTGGCTCGGGGATGGGAAGGCAGAGCCCTACTCAGCTGCCCTGAAGAAGCAAGGGTAGCCCCTCCCAACCCACCACCACCACACTTCATGCCCAGTTGTAGAGGACAAGAAACAAACAAGTGCCATGTGCATTCACAGTACCAGTTGAGGCGTGACAAATGGTTCACTTTATGTCACCCATGTGGCTGCCTAGAACACCTTAATGTCAAGAAGGCTGAGGCTGGATCACACCTCTGCAGATGTGGTGGCTTGAGTAGGAATGCTCCCCACCCCAGATTCGTATGTTTGAATGCTTGGTCCAAAGTGAGTGGCACTATTAGGAGGTGTGGCCTTGTTGTAGAAGTGTGTCACTGTGGGGGTGGGCTTTGAGGTCTCCTATTTTCAAGCTACACCCAATGTCACAGTTCACTTCCTGTTGCCTATGGATGAAGATGTAGAACTCGTAGCTACCTCTCCTGCACCATGTTTGCCTGCATACTGCCATGCTCCCCACCATGATGATAATAAACTAAACCTCTGAAACTATAAGTCAAGCCCAGTTAAATATTTTCCTTTATAAGAGTTGTCATGGTCATGGTGTCTCTTCACAGCAAGAAAACCCTAAGAGAGCAGGTAAGAGTAGGATTGCAGTGTTGGCCATGTGTGAGAGAAGAGGAAGGAGCCAGGGCCATTGGTGGGCCACCAATGATACAGGGCTCTCCCACTGGGCAGACAGAGTGGGGACTCATGCTAGCCATCCAGCCCGTGATGACCGGTGATATGAGCTTTCTGTTCCCAGTGTCATGCCATCATCACAGCCCTTATCCCCACATCACCCAGGTGTTAGAAATTCAAAGATGGAGGTAAGCAGCCCAACACCTCTTGAACAGTGAGCACCCCAGTGTTTATATAGACCAGGCCCCACCATCTGTCACCAGGATGGAGCCAGTGAGAGCCCTCAGGCAGATAGGACCTTCTACAAGGGCTGGTCTTGGTGCAGGGACAAACCCTGCCAAGGAGCCCTGCTGCACCACCCCCCAGGATGCTCACCTGGTGGGACAGGGCTGGGAGTTGCAACTTTCCACCTCTGGGGCTGGCTTCTGGGCTACTGCTTTGCACCGGGCTGGTGGCAGTGTCCTTAAGAAACCATCTTGGGTCTCCACACAGTGCACTAGCTGCTCCCGAATACCCCCGCCACAGGACACGCTACATGGGCTGAAGTCTCCAGTTGTCCAACTAAGGAGGAAAGGGACAGAACATCAGGCCCGTGGCCAGGTCCCCCAGTTGGCTCAGGGGCATTGGATGGAAGGCAAGCAGGTCTGTCTTGCTGATCCCGATGAGATGCTTCCTCTGGTCTGGTCCAGGCCCTGTGTTTCCAAGCTGCTGTTCCAAGACCAACCTTGGGGACTGCCCCTAACATACTTTTGAACCTGAGGCAAGGTATTTATAGTGATGGCTGGGGGCCTTCTTAGTCCCACACACAGTAAGATGGCCTTGTCCTATCACTAGTCTGTTACCAGGTGGCAGAAGCCAAAGGAAGCCATGTGCTGGCCCTGCCACCGTTCTCCCTGGTAGGGTACTCATCTTGCAATGAGAACCTGAGCTCAGAGAGGCCTCAGGACATCCAGACAAGGTGGCAGCAGATGTGACCACACACCTAACTGTGTCTGTGATTGTGTGTACTCATGTTTTGGTGTCCTCACTAGCAGAATGGGGACACTGACAGAGCCTGGTCCACAGAGCAGTAGCTAAAGTTGTAAAACAACCCAGAGAAGGTTCCCAGTCTGCCCAGGCCCCAGGAGTCACCACAGGCCAGGTGTCTGACCAGCTTAGTACTTACTATGGAGGGCAGGGGGCAGGGACACAGGGCTCTTGCCATGCAGGTGGCTGTGGGCTCCCTTGGCACAGGGAGCTATTCACCCCCTTGTTTTGAGCTTGATCTTGGCAGCTGTAGGTCACCCAGCGCAGTCCTGGAAGGGCAGAGCAAAGACTCAACCACCTCCACATGAGGTCCAGCAGAGCTTTAGGCAAGCCTTACCCCGGGTCTCACCTGCCCCACAGCTCACTGAGCATGCTCCACGCACAGCAGTCCACACCCAAGTGGCCCGCTGCTTCGGTTGAAAGTAGGTAAAGGTGATGTCTGGGTGTGTGAGATCCCCATAGTCCCCTCTATATCGTCTGTACACCTGCACCAGGACAGGTGAGAGCTCAGGCCCTGAACAGGCACACCCAGGGGTGTCTGCCACATCCCCCTGTCCCGAAAGCATTCGATCACTTCATTTCCTCAGGTCCTATGTTTCCAGACTCCAAGAGGCAGACAGGACTTGAGTGTCAAGTAGCTCTGAGTAATGCGAAACAGAACAGGGATGTACCAAGAAGGCGGTACGTTGGGGTTGGGGTGGTATGGGAGTGTTGATGAGGTTGGGGGCAGTCTACAGCTAAGGTCATCAGGAGTAGTGTCAGGGCAGGGAGCGACTCAGCAGAAGGGGTCCAGGTCAGGATGGAAGGTGAAGGTGAAGGTGAAGGTGAAGGTCATTTTAGCTTTGGTCCACTCCTACATGCATTTAGCAGAGCACACGGAATTGAGGTATTTCTTGCACATCCCTACATGAAAGCTTTCAGGGCCTCATGTGCTCTGACTGCAAAGAAAAAGCAAGAGCCACCCTCGATCCCAAGAAGGGCCCCACATGCCAGCTCTTACAGGGACTCCTTGGCCCATGCATGGCCAGACCTTCAGCTCCACTGTGCTTTCCTGCTTGGAGGGCAGTCCCTGATGCCAGCATAAAGTCTACCCTCTCTTTCACTCTCAGGCCTCAGGCCTTCTGCGTGCCCTGGACACTGGCACATTTTATACTGATTTGCAATACACTAATCCTGTTGAGTGGCTCCTGCTGCATTTCACCTTACCCAGAGCCCGACTTGTAATAGGTCTCCAAATAACTACTGCAAGGATTAATGAGTGAGTGAATACAGATAAATAAGCAGATATCCAGAGCCACCACCCCACACCCTGCAGCCAGGCTGATCAGTGACCTGGATCTCCACGTCGTCCCGGACAGGTCCCCGGATGTGAATCTCCTCTAAGTGGGGCAGCCGGTCCTCAGTGAGGGTCACTCTGTACTCCACACGGCAGTCCTCCAGAAGGGAGGGGTGTATGATGCTAGGTGAGATGCTGGTCTTCCCTGCCACGATGTAGTGTCCCTGGGTCCTCACAGCTTTGAGAACAGGGCCATCAGCACTGTGCAGTGGCCACCATCCCTCCTCATAGACCAGCAGTCTATTTGGTGGGATGGGACCACTCTCGAAAGGACAGGGTTAAAGATGGCAGCAAGACAAGGGGCAGGAGGATTTCTGCCAACAGGGTCTAATCCCCAAATCATGACCATAGGTCCTACCAAGGTTTTAAACCTGACCCCAAGGAACGGTCCTTCTGGTGTCTCATTTAGATGGCATCTTCATGAACTAAACCCCTCCTTCAGAATGCACACCTCTGCCACATACAACCCGCCCAGGAAGCTTTCCCAGAGTGGTGGCTCCAGCCCTTTTTCTGGAAGCTGGTGAGGGCTGTGACCTCTGCCTCCACTGAGTATGCTCACATAAGGCTTCAGGCTCTAGGACCCACGGCCAAGATTCCCTCCATGGGGTCTAAGTTAGCCTCTGAGACACTCGGGACAGGATCTTCAAAAGGAGTCCTCTGAAAATAGGCCAGATTCCTGGCATGGTCATCGTCTGGGAATATGTCATATGATCCTGGGACCTGGAGCCGACCAGCCTGGTCCCCTCCACGCTTAGCTTCCATATTCCTTTTCAGGCAATTTTAACCTACACTCTTCCCCCACCCACGAGATAGGCTTAGCTGTGAATGCATCAGCTCTCGATGGGGTCTGGGTATCTGGGGATCCCTTCCACCTTGCAGTGGTGTCAGGAGCGAAGGAATCTCAGAGACTAAGGACACGGTAGCTAAGGGCAGGGAAGGGTTCTTCAGTCCTCTCACCCAAGTGTGTGAAGAGAGGTCTGCGGTTCACGATGCGTACGCTGGTCATGTTGGGAGTAACTGTCAGGAACGTGACATATTCTAGGGATAAGCAGAGCAAGAGGGCTGCTTGGGCTTCATGGTCACCTACACCACTATCAAAGAAGACAATTCTAGATGGGACAGAGACATGAACAGTGTCGTAGGGCTGGTTTCAGTGGCAGTGAATCCCCGTCATGGTAAGAGCTCAACACCAGGCTGCAGGACCAACTGCAAAGACACTGGCAAGGCCAGGAGCATAGACCAGACCCAAGGATCTTGGCTACAGGCACAGTTAGAGAGGCAGGGCCCAAGTTCTCTGCTGATCTTGCAACTCAGTGCTGACAAACGACATAGATAGATAGATAGATCGATAGATAGATAGATAGATAGATAGATAGATAGATAGATAGATAGATATAGAGACAGATATATTTGAGATATATATCAAAGTCAAGCAAATTTACATCCCTGTTGTCCAGGGTACTCTCCCTGCTGAGACACCTGAGTAGGAAGGAAGAAGTAACCTGACAATTACTCAGGGTGTTACTTGTTCCCTCTTATCCCCCCCCCATCACAGCTACAGTGAGGAAGTTACTGAGGTGTTACAATCCTGGTTGCCGGGGCAATGTTACTGGAGTTTGAGTCTGCCGTGAGAAGACACCAGAAAAGGAAGAATGAATTGAAACACATGGGAAGGTACCCGTAGCTGAGCCAGCATGTGGGTGCTGTGGCCTGAGTAGCCCAGGTTAACACTTTGGATGCTGGGTCCCTGTAGACTGCTGGGAAACCCACCCTCCATGCAGGGCAGGCCTACCTCTGGCTCTCCCGGCCGTGAAAGAGCCATTCTGGGAGCTGCACGTGCTGTTGTCTCCTCCACATACCTGGCACGCATCCCAAACCTTCTGGGAGTCCATCCTGCCATCACAGCCAAAGGTCTGTGCAAAGGGTGGGGTTTGAAAGGCCTGTGTTATTAGGGTGCTGTTTTCTTTGGTACCACAGCTCTGCCGGCTGTGAGACTCTGGATTGACATAACTCTCTGTAGCTTCCCTATAGAGCAATGGCACCTAGCAGGCTCCCATGATGACTTGCTTAAGGTCACAGTTTGGCCTATAATATAGGCTGTCTCCAAGTTCCATCCTGTTCCCAACGATACTCCCCAGCAGACACAGGGCAGCAGGGCAGCTCTACTGACTAGCCCCATATATCACCTCCCCCTTTTCCTAGAGCCTTCTTTTGTTAATTTTTTTTTATTCATTTTACACACCAACCATAGTTCCCCCTCCCTCCCCTCCTCCTGCTCTCCACAGCTCCCCAACCCACTGCCCCAGAACCTTCTACTGTATCAGGAAAGCCTTGAGTTCACAAGGACACTGGGTTGTCCATATACCTACCCTGCAGCTGCCCAACACACACAGACTCAGGGTCCCATCTTCCCGAGGACCACTTGGCACACAGCGGGTCCCGTCTAGGAAACTGTTTCCACGGCTCACAATGAAGTTCTCTCCAACAGCCCAGCACATGTGTCTGCACAGAGTGTCCCCTGGGAGGGCAGAGTGACAAGGGTCTGGTGCTCAAAGGTGAACAAAGAGGCCAATGAGCTAGGTAGGAAGCTCCTCTGGGACCTGCTATCACAGCTCTGCCAGACAGGGTCAAGTGGGCTGTCCTCCTAGCAGCCTCAGCTAACTGTACGCATGTGTGGCCAGGACCACAGTTCACCTCCAAGGCCATATTATATTCTGGTCTCATAACCCTGACTCCCGGATTATGAGCCAAGGATATGCTAGGATTTCCCCTGACATATCTCCCGGAATCTCTCTAGCGCGCCCAGAAGAAGACACGTCTAAGATAGAACCTCACTGCTTACTATCTGAGGAGGCAGACCAAGCCAGAGAGCAACACATGGCCCCTGGAATGCCAGAGCAGGAGTCAAGTCCTGCCCAGCCAGCACTTGGGTGATGGAGACTAGGATGGTTCATGCTGATTTTAACTGAACAGGATCTATAGTCACCACTTAGGAGACAAGCCTCTAGAGATGCCGTAAGAGATGATCTGGATTAGGTTCGCTTCTGGTCCCATTGTGAGGGACTCTCTTGATTAGATTAGCTGAGGGAACACCCATCCTAAAAGTAGGCAGCATCATTTTATGGACTGAGGTCCTGATCTACTGAATAAGAAGAAGAAAGCATGCTGAATACAGATTCTCTCTCTCTCTCTCTCTCTCTCTGTGTGTGTGTGTGTGTGTGTGTGTGTGTCTGTCTGTCTGTCTGTCTGTCTGTCTGCCTGCCTGCCTGTCTGTCTCTTTCTGTCTTTCTCTCTTGGTCCCTCTTTCTCTGTGTGAGTCTGTCTGCGTGTATCTGTCTCTTCTCTCTTGTGTATGTGTCTGCCTGTCTGTCGCTCTCTCTCTCTCTCTCTCTCTCTCTCTCTCACACACACACACACACACACACACACACACACACGTGTGTGTGTCTCTGTGTGTCTGTGTGTCTGTCTGTCTGTCTGTCTCTCTCTCACACACACACACGTGTGTGTCTCTGTGTGTGTGTCTGTCTGTCTGTCTGTCTCTGTCTGTCAGCCTGCCTGTCTCTCTCTCTCTCTTCTTCCTGGTTTCAGGTGCAATATGACCAGCTGCCTCAATCTCCTCTGCTAGTTTCCCTGCCACGATGACTGTAACCTGGAACCATGAGTCAGAATAAACCCTTCCTTCTGGAAGTTGCTTTCGTTGGGGTGTTTTATCTTCTATGTCAGCAGTAGGACAAATAACAAAGACACTAGCCAACCCCAAGAGCTCTGTCTGGCAGAGGGCTCCAGGGCCTTGCTCCCTCAGGCCCCACAGCCCACCTTGACTATACCGCACAGCGGCGTCCCAGTGGTAGAAGGAGGCATTGCCTTGGGGAAGGTGCAGTGGCTGGCTGTCAGTCTGGGCACACTGCTCGGACATGAACTCCAGCTGAGTCTTCTCACAAGCCTGGCCAGAGGAGGCAGAGGACAGGTACAGGCAGGGTCCTTGCCAGTGGGAGACAGCATGCACCCTGCGTGCAGGGTCAAGAGATGGGGATAACTCAGCCAGCCCCGGGCTGTGCCTTATCTCAGCTCAGTAGTCTGTGGGTGACCAGATCTGCCTCTCTTTGCCCATGGGAAAACTCCAGATAATCTGTAAAGGACACAGCAGCAGCAGGAAGAAAAACAGGAAGTAGTGTGGCACTTGGGGCCTCTGGCTCCAAGTCCTCAACCTGAGGAAATGTGGTCGAGCTGTAGATTCTGTCACAGGTGCATGCGGGGCAGGAAATGAGGAACTGAGACCCAGAAATGTCACTCTGCCTCACTGTGCTGGGAAGAAAAGATTGGAGTTGACCAGCTTCCTCCTCTCAAGGTCTGAGGAGGCCTTGGGCATTTAGCAAAAGGCAAGGAGCAGGATAGGGGTGTGTCACCACACGTTGAATGCTCCAGCAGCCTGCAGACTTCTGAAGCAGAGAATACATTCTAACTCAACGGGACAAAAAAAATCATTCTACCACCTCACGACAGCTAGGGCAACCGGAGCGAAAACCCACGTGCAGAAGAGGACATGGAGATATTGGAACCCTCACACACTGTTGGTAAAAATAGAAAAATGGCCCCTGTGTGAAGAGAAACAGTTTGTTAACTTAAAGTTAGGTGTGGTGGTGCATGCCTTTAATCTCAGCATTTGGGATGCAGAAGCAGGTGGGTCTCTGTCAGTTCAAGTCCAGCCTGATCTATATAGTGAGTTCCAGAACAGCCAGGCTAGATAGATCCAGTTTCAAAAAACAGGGAGGGGGTCTAGAGAGATGAATCAGCAGTTAGACATGCTTGGCTGCTCTTGTGGAGGATTCAGGTTCGGTTGCCAGTCATGTCAGGTGATTTGACTGTAACTCCAGGTGATCCCATACCCTATTATGGTCTTGAAAGGTAAATACACAACATGAGTGAGTATACACACACAGTCATGCACACATGCAGAAACACACTTGAAAAAGATAAACATGACCTTTTAGAAAGAGGAAAAAGTCTAAATTAAGCACAGAATTTCTATACAAGCAGCAGTACCAATTTTAGGCATTGTGGTTTTCCAAAATCCATGGACGCTCAGGGCCCCCATGAGGCAGGACTACGAGGTGTGGCCTTGAGAGGTAGCAAGGGCTCAAGAACTCTGCCTGAATAATTAGGACTGGACTCTTATGAAAGGGCTGGAGGCTCTGTTGTAGGACTTCTGTTACTTTTGTCCCCTCTACCATGTGAGGACGATCTATTCTGAGCCTCTGGAGAACAGGGCAACAAGGACCATCTGGGAATCAGACACCAAGTGCAGGACTTCCAGAATCATAAGAAATTAATTTCTGTTGTTGATAAATTACTCTGCCCGTGGTGGTTTGTCACAGAAAACTCAAGCCAGCTAAAGTCAACTCATTGACAGCAGCTGGGTTTGCTGTAGCCAAAAAGTACAAATGACCCAAACAATAGAAACGATGACAGAAAAACAAAGCACTCTGGTCGTATCATGGACTGTTCTTCCGACCCTGAGAGGAAAGGAAGCATTGACTCATGTACAACACTGAAAAATGCCATACTGTGTCAAAGGAGCCGGCTCTTGCATGACGGTGTGTACACGAGGTCTTCAGAATAAGTAGATGCCGGAGAGAGAACACAGCTTGGAGTTGCTAGGGTGGGGAGGGAAGACTGTTCACTGGTGTGGGCTATTCCTCAGGGATGAAGTTTGGAACAGCACTCCCAGTGTGCTCAATGCCTCTGCACTGTGAACTTTGAAATGGTTGTCTAAACAAGATGCATTTCACATCAGTGTCTGAATGAAGTACTTCGCACTGTGTGCTCCAAGGGCCGTTCCCAGAGTCAGTTCTCATCATAGAGATGTTATCTCAAAGGTGAATAGATACTCTGGGAGGGAAGCAATCACATAGGGGCTTTGCTAAACCCCCACGGGTTAGCAAAGGGAGGCATGAGACCATGGGTCAACCATTCTGATGGCTAACTCCTATCCGCCTCCCAGCTAGGAGACCAGCCTACCTGTGTGTTGCACATCTTAGCCTGGAGGTCCTCACCCACACATGGACGTCCCCCAAAGGCAGGCCTGGAAATGCCCACAAAACAAAAGGGGGGAAAGGTGACCACAGCTGCAATGAGAGAATGGGGTGCAACCTCCCTCCCTGCGGGGAAGCCCTCTGTAGGTACCTGGGATTGTTGCACCACCGTCTCCTGGTGACCACACCTCCTCCACAGGAACGGGAGCAAGGACTATAGGGCCCCCAACTAGACCAGCGTCCATGTACTGCTGCCACGGGGGTTAGCTCGGCTAGGGAGCGGCAGCGAGCCTTGGAGCACCACTGCAAAGCAGGGCAGCTCTGTCTCCCTCTCCCACATGGACCCAACACACATAGGATGTGGTTAGCACACACAGGACCGCTAACACCCGAGGGACCCTCCAGAACACAAAGTTCCCCAACACACATAGAGACTTCCAACACAGGAACAACGTTCCTCATTAGAATCCTAACACACACAGGGATCTCACTGACAGGAAGAACCCCAACAGTACATAAGGGCCGCACGCAGGATCTCCCAGTAGACATAGAAACCTCCTGAAGCATACAGATACCTCATCTACAGGTGCCCTCCACAGAGGGACCTCCCACATTGGGCACAATCACACCTCATTCTATTTGGGAAGACAGCAGAATGCCAACAGAGGAAGGTACCCGGTGAAAAGGGGAAATTAACCCCAAAGAGATGGTTCAGGCAATGAAGGCAAGGGCAGTGAGTGGGGATGCTTGGACCTTGCTGTCACTCAACAAATTCATCTCTGTATGAGAGAGGGCTGGAGGATGGGGTGGGTGAGGAGTGGTCCAGTGCCCTGGAGTGAGAGCTCAATGAGACCCTTCTCAGGGAAGCAGGGGAATGCAGAGCGGAGGCTCTGGGTGTTCTCTCCCCACTCTCCCCTCCCCCCCAGTCTCTCTCTCTCTCTCTATCTCTCTCTTTCTCCCTCCCTCCTTCCCCCCCCCCCCATCTCTCCATCCTTCACACTGCTCTAACCTTCTCCACACCGCATTCTGTCCCATCCAGGAGAGGAACAAGGAGCCGGCTACAGCTGCTATGGTCCAGCGGGTCTGTGTGGCAGGACAGAGCCTGGCATACATCCTAAGAGAGGTGGACAGGTGGTCCTCTGAGAGCTTGCCCACTTACTGTCCCTTCCAGACCAGTCAATGCCCTGCTCTCTGGGAGATCAAACCACAGCCGACTGGCTTGTCCATCAGAAGCAGGGATGGACCTTGCCAGGGCCCATCATCACACTTCTAGGGGTCACGAGAAAGTCTTAATATTTAAAATCAGAAGAGAAAAGCAAGCTTTTAAATAAAAAATAAGCTTTCTGGGGCTGGAAGATGACTCAGCGGTTAAGAGCATTGGCTGCTCTTCCAGAGGACCCTGTTTTAATTCTCAGCACCTACATGGCAGCTCACAGATGTTTGTAGCTCCAGTTTCAGAGGATCTGACACCCTCCGACAGACATACACACATACAAAACACCAATGCACATAAAATAAAAACACATCATTTAAAAAGAAAAGAAAAACAAGCATCCTAACATGGATCATAAATATAATTTAGAGATTTTTTTTGCATTTTCCAAAAATACTTTCAAAAATATTTTTAAAATACAACATCTGTATCCCAGGCTAGCCTTGAATTCCCTATCTAGCCAAGGATGGCCTTGACTTCTGATTCTTTTGCCTGTACCTCCAGAGTTCTGGGATTACAGGTATGTGCCACCACAGCCAGTTTGTATGGCCCAAGGCCAAATTTGGGGTTTTGGATATACCAGGAGAGCAAGCACTTTACCTACTAAATTGCATCCTCAGCCCCTAAATGCAATTCTTAATGCTTTTGTGGAGGGAGGGAGGAAGGGAAGGAGGAAAGGGCTCACCAGGGCAAAGGGGTAAGGTCCTACAGCTCCCAGGCAGGAAGTCTGAATTGGGGGACCCTGGCCTTTCCATTTCCCAGCTCTTGTGAGCCACATTCCTACCCTGTGGGGAGCCTGGAGGCCTCTGCCTCCTGGAAGCCCTTATGCTGAGCCCACCCGCAGAGATTAGATGCTTTTGTGCCAGGAACCGCTACATAATCTGTAAATCAAAATCAAACAAAACTGTGGGGACTTTAGTTAAAAAAAACAATATTTAATACTTCCAAGAGGAGGGGGGAGATGGGTAAAAGTGATCAGAACACAAACCTAATGACCTGAGCTTAATCCCCAGAACCAATGATGAAAGGAGAGAGTCCACCCTGCAGAGTCCTCTCATCTTCACTAATGTACTGTGGCACGCTCACACATGTATGTGCACTCGTTTCTTATTTCACGATACACTGAACACAAGCATTAGACAAGATCAGGTACCTAACTGCTGGTTGTAAACTGTGCATGTTAAACCAAGTGAGCCCTGGTGTGGTCCTTGGCTGTGCCTGGCACCCAGCAGGTGGGGTCACTGTACCAGGGGCCAGGGAGTAGGGTGTAGTGAGACTAGTGAAGGGTGGGACTTACCAGACCCTCCCTGGAGAAGGTGCAGGCGACAGCCCCGGAGCCAAAAGCCATGCGGCACTGATCATCTGCACTGTAGTAGAGGCCAGGCTGTGCCTCCAGCTGGTGCCTTGAAGGTCCTGACTGCATCCCAGGCGGGTCCCGGAAGCAGTGCATTCGCCCTGTGCTGTGACAGATCAGGCAGGGCTCAAGACCTGGGTGGACACCAGTGGGATCAGGGCAAAAGAGCAGAAGTGGAGCTGGGGCCTGTTAGCTGGGCAGAGACCCAACAGGGATGGTTGTAGAATGAAGCACGTGGAGGACTGAAAAACGATGAAGATCAGAAATGGCCTGGCCTTTCCGCCAGAAAGGGCGGAAGTAGGAGGTAGGGGAAGTAGAGAACAAGGGGGCATTGAGGGATGGGCCCGGGGTGGGATGGAATAGAGTAAGTTCAGAAAAGAATGACGGAGGAGGGATGGGAAGGGATGGAGGTACCGACCAGGGAGCAGAGCGGGCTCTGGGACAGGAAGTAATGGCAGCAGAGTGGGCTGGGGTAAAGATCGCTGTGCAGGATGAGAGTGACAGCCAGCACTGTCCAGGTGGAGGCTGTACCTGAGCAGGTGCCGCAGCTGCCTTTGGCTACAGGTAGACCACTCTAGGGCCCCTCCAGCAGGCATTGCGCCATCAGACGCCATCACATGACCACTGGCCTCACAGGTGCTGCCAGTGCCTGGAGTACCATCATGATCCAGGCCGAAGCTGTTGGGAGAAGAAACTCCGAGAAGAGCCAGCTGGGGTTGTGTCCCCTGGACCTGGACTCTGCTACAAGCTAAGTCAGCCCAACAGAAGGAGTCCTGGAGGCCCTGCCTCCGTTTCCCATCTATATGAGGAAGGGAGGAGAGCTGGTCCAACAAGGAGACTCTTTCCTCCTTTGGCTAATAAATAGCAAAATGCTTTGACCATAGACTAACTGACCTAATCCACGAATCCATGAATACAAGTCTGGGGTGTAAAGATGGGAACTGGGGACTGGGAGCCAGCAGGTTGCCCTCTGGTGGCCGGCCTGGGTGTGTTCAGCTTTGGGAGAACTATCCACACTGAAGCTGTCTTGTGGTTGAGAAGCCCGGGAGCTGCTGCTGTTTTCCTTCCTACTCCTAGGGAGTGGATTATTTTCAGGCAAGGCCTGAATATCCCGGCACTTCAAGCAGAGCAGACCCTAGGAGCCTAAGAGGCTGGGGGTGGGGCAGTGGAGGAGCTGCTGGGGTCTGGTCCTCTGGGAGATCTGGAGAGCCTGGCTTCCACCCCCAGGAGCCCACACCACTTCAGACGGAAGGTGGGCTGTCAGGAGGGAAACTTTCTTTCTTTTTTTTTTTTTTTTTACTCTGCAAATTTCCATATCATTTGACATTTTTACAACAATTGGACTTTATTTGCCTAACTTAAAAAATCCTAAAAATCAACAAGAAAAGAAACATGTCACTCTAAATAAATTGATAATACACAGGAATAAAGATTTGCCTACAAGAATACACAATACACACAGCATCAAGGGATCAGAAACACCCTAGCTGTCCAACCAGAGGAGATTAAGTTGCGGAATGTACAAAACAAAATGCAACAAAATATAAGAGACCTGTGAGCTGAGAAATGTTTGGAATGTATAGCTACTTAAAAGGACTGGTAACAAATACCTGTAATCTTACCCAGCATTTGACAGTTGGCTAAGCAACCATATGAGGCCCTGTCTTAAAAATCACAATAGAATCAAAATAACAACGTATGCCACAATCCTGGTGTATGCGCACTAATGAACAAAATAGCAAAATTAAATATAACTCTGAAGAGACATTTCTGTAAGTGGTGTGTGGTAGTTTAAATAAGAAAAAGCCCCCTGCCTCCACCATATATTATCATGTTTATTGATGCACTGTTTGGAAGGATTAGGCAGTATGGACTTTTTAGAGAAGCTATGTCCTTGGAAGACATGTGGGTCTGGAGGTGGACTTTGAGGTTCCAAAAGTCCACGCCAGGCCCAGTGTCTCCTCTCTCTGCTTGTCTGCCTGTGAATCAAGATATAAAGTTCTCAGCTTTTGCTGCAGCACCATGCCTGCCTGTGTGTTGCCACGTTCCCTGCATGGACTAATGACCATGGACTCACCCTCTGAAACTGTAAGCAGGACCCCAGTTAAATGCTTTCTTTTATAAGTGTTCCCGTGGTCACGATGTCTCTTCACAGCATTAGAAAAGTAACTAAGACATGGAAGGACTTAGGATGATCTTCAGTTTTTTTCTTTTCTTTTTTTTTAAATATTTATTTATTTATTTATTTATTTATTTATTTATTATGTATACAATATTCTGTCTGCAGGCCAGAAGAGGGCACCAGACCTCATTACAGGTGGTTGTGAGCCACCATGTGGTTGCTGGGAATTGAACTCAGGACCTTTGGAAGAGCAGGCAATGCTCTTAACCGCTGAGCCATCTCTCCAGTCCCCTTCAGTTTTTTTCTTTATTGGAATTTCCTATAAGACTTATTTTCTGACTGGTTCAGCGGGTGAAGGCACTAGCTGCACAAGTGTAATGACCTGAGTTCAGAATCTGAGTAAAAGTGAGAACCAATTCCACAAAGTTGTTCTCTGACTTTTACATGCATACTGTGGCATGACCCTCACCCCACATCATACACACACACACACACACAGAGAAACACATGCACATATACACACATACATATACACACACATACACACATGTACACACACACTTTTTTTAAATTTTAAAAATTAAATTATTTTCTAACTACTGCTTGTTTATTCAGGTTTTTTTTTCAAGACAGTGTTTCTCTGTGCTACAGCTCTGGCTGTCCTGGAACTCACTTTGTAGACCAGACTTGCCCTAAATTCACAGAGATCCTCCTGCCGCTGCCTCCTGAGTGTTGGGATTAAAGGCGTGCGCCACCACCGCCTGGTTGTTTGTTCATTTGGAAAAGAAGAATTTATGTTAATCACTCAGTAATCAGGAAACCTCAACTTTTCCCTGCCAAGACACTTGTGTTCAGGGTATAATCTTCTGACAGATTCTGCAAAAGGTTCTGGCTGACTAGGCCACAGCCCTCCACATTGGAACTTACACCAGCTGTCTGACCAGTCTGCTGATAGCTGGTGAGGCTACATACCTGTGCCCAATCTCATGAGCAATGGTGATCCCTAGGTCGAAGCCAGTGTCCTCAGTGATGAGGCAGCTCCAGGAAGAGGAGCAGGCACCTCCCAGCTGGGTGACCCCCCGAACCTGCTTGTTACCATCAGGCAACTCCAGGTCAAACCTTGATAAGAGAAAAAGAAGCATATGGAAGGCTCCACCAGCCATGCTGCTGGAGCATAAAGAAGGGAAGATCATAGGCAGCCCTCCCAAGCAAGCAGCACCCCGTGGGGATCTCAGTTACCTGGTTATATAGAGAATCAGGTCAGCATGACTTGGATCCTGGTCATCGTGGGGGTTGATTGTCTGGCTCCACTCACAAACACTCATCAGGGATGAGGTGATGTTGGTCGTGATATTTGGAGTACTCTAGGAAGCAACCAAAGAGCCTGTCTCTACGGAAGTGGTACCCAGGATGGCGCTGACTGTTGCCAACGTGCTTCTCAATTGGTCCACATTATAACAATCCTATTGCTATCCCACGTGACAGATGGAGAAACCGAGGCTCTGTAAAGTTTCTGGAGAGCCGTCCACACAGCTGAGCCCCACAGTTACCACCCCCTACCAGTTCTACAGGAAAGAATGAAGATCACAGAGTTAGGGGTTGTCCCCACCTCCGAGTCAGAGAGAATGATCAGCTTCACCAGGTGCACCTGAAACTGAGCCCCCAGGGATGGGTCCCTCAGCAGCTCTGACCCCTGCAGAAGGCAACAACAGAGAGAGTGAGGCAACACACGTGTTCAGAGTCGGTCCAGAAGCCCCAGTGACAGGACCAGTGGTAAAGAGGGCACCCCATGGGGGCTAGGGGTGGTGGAAAATCTTGTCTGTGTGCTGGAAGCCAACTGTAGACTGTCAGAGGAGCCTCTAGGCCTCATGCCTAGAGGTGGCTCTCTAGCTCATGCCTTGGGAAGACCTGAGTTTGAATCTAAACTCTGCCTCTTCCGAGCTATAGGCTCAGGTCACCAATCACTAAGCCTCAGTTTCCTTACAGGCTTTCTGTTTTATAAGGTGGAGATCAAGCCTTGCCTGGCTAGCAAATATGGAGAATAAAATTAGATACTCTGTTTCAGGTACCACCTGATCAATGGTTCTCAACATTTCTAATGCTCTGACCCTTCAATACAGTTCCTCATGTTGTGGTGACCACCCCCAGCCATAAAATTATTTCACTGTTACTTCATAACTGTCATTTTGCTACTTTATTCATCATAATGTAAATATCTGTGCTTTCCGATGGTCTCAGGCAATCCCTGTGAAAGTGTTGTTTTATCCCCTCCCCAAAGGGGTCATGACCCATAGACTGAGAACTCCTGTTCTAATGGCATGTGAAGAACTCAAGGGAGCCTGGGTTTGGCAACTTAAAATTGGAGGGAGGGACCCCAAAATTTAAAGACAATGGTTTCCAATTGGTATAAGGAATCATTTCGTTGAAAAACCATCACCCCAGGGGTTTTTAGACTAAAAGCCTACACAGGTTTCTCTGGACTTAGACCACAACTGTATGTGGGAGGGAAGGCCTGGGGTAGACAGTGTGGTCGCACACAGACAACCTTTGGCGCTGAGACTGGTGAGGTGGATTCAGAGAAGACTTTTCCTTTGACCTGAAAAGGGTGACCAGGCTGACGCCTGAGCCGTTCTAGAGAGAGTGATAGTGACTGGGACCAAATGCTGTCCCAGAGCCACACCTAGGATCTCTTCATGACTCCCTGCCCAGCCCCATCTCTGTGGCAGACCTGGGAGAGGAGGAGGAGGAGACTGCTGGGGCTGTCAGTCACTGGCCGGAACTAATTCCTAGAGTCAGTTCATTAGATTTTACACTTTTTGTAGCATACGTGCATACATATGGAAGTCAAAGGACGGCTTGAAGGAATTGGCTGTCTCCTTCCAGCATGTGGGGTCTGGGTTAAGTTCAGGTTGTTGTTTTGGTGGCAAGCACCTTTACCTATTGAATCATCTTTTTTTTTCCTTCCTTTCTTTCTTTCTTCCTTCCTTCCTTCCTTCCTTCCTTCCTTCCTTCCTTCCTTCCTT